CACAAGGGTTATTTCAATGAGCTGTGATTTGGCGAAAAAAAATCGTAGGAACTTCTTTTTTTTAATTGAAGAGAAAAGTATAGTATACACTTTTTGATACCGTAAGCAGAACTGGCGAAGAAAAATTACAACACTCCGCACAGTGCGTCAAAGTGTGCAATTTTTTAGAGAAGAAACATGGTCATGATTTTGAGAAAGTTCCGGGAAATGGGAAGAGTGAATGCAAATTCCAATAAGAGCTTCTTAAAGCAGAGACTTTGCCCTATAAAATGAAAAAAAAAACTTTTCAATTTGACCAGTTTTCGCGAAGTTACGCTTATTTGAAATTCGCCAAATTTTGATGTAAATTTCTTGTTGCGTTAATTTTTTTGACCAGTGTATATATTTCTACAATTTGCTACTAGATTTTCGAAAAATTTGAGCAGTAGGTAGGAAAATAAGTAAAATAAATATAATCAACAAAAGTATTATTTATTGTCTTTCTCTCAAACGGGTCAATCTTGCGTATAAAAAATATAATTATTTTTAATTAAAATAAAATGTAATTATTTTGCTCGTACAAAAGGAATTGCTTTTATAATAAAATGACTAATCTGAGTTATTCAGCAAAAAGTGTTTCAAAATAAGAACTTATTTCCTATTTTATTTAACATGGAAAAATGTGAATTTACTTCACGAATTCTATTTCTTGCTCTGATTTTATACTTGCGAATAACTTTCTTTATTGACTGCAAAGAAACATGAACACAATTGTGATTGGGTAAAACATTTCGAATAGATTTATAAAGTACACAAGGATTAATAGTCTTAGTTCATTAGAATATTACTATAAGATATGTATATCGATGCTCGTGTCTTTCTCGCTGTTTGCTCACGAATTAAGGGGATGCTGGAGTAACTTGCACTTTTGGCACCTTCTGCTAATCATAAATCATTTTCCATATACATAAGAAGTTATTATATTATATAGATAAGACTATAACAGATTCTATATAATCTCAAAAGTATTAAATAGCTTACTGATTTCACGATAATCGCTTCACTTACATCATATTCTTATTATGTTAGTATAATTTTTATTAAAAAGAACATTTTAAAGCTATATTTAAGTTGTAACATATAATTATGAATATCGAAAATAATCTAAGTTCAAATATCGCGAACTATTCCAAACAGCACCTCTAAATTTCAAAATCATAATTACATAAATATTCTGTCATGATTAAAATGACTTTTGATAATCATTATGATGTCATTTTGATATTATTGCAATTTTTTGTTCTGCTTGGGCATATTTTCTTAGTACACGAATTATAAACTGCGGAGGTATACTTCATTTTTAATGCGGTCATTAATGCTTGCCACTTTTCAGTATATCAAGAAATTGTTCAACTTTTTCTGAAACATTATTAAATAAAAAACCGAGTCTCCAATAAAGCTAAAAATTGGTGCAGGTAATTACATAGTCTGATTCATTTTTTTGCAATATTTCTTCATCATTTTTTCACTGAGACAATAACTTTTCCCTCATTTTCCATAAAACTATGAAAATATTGTAATTTTTTTTTATAACGAAATCTACAGAATCATTTGAATTCAATTTTTATCTTAACAGTCGTAATGCCTCATCCTTAGGCAAGGTATATTAATCGTATCGCATCACTGGTGACGATCCAACATTTCTCGAAATGTGCAAATCGTAGTAATAATATTAGCTTGATCTTAGCTTTTTCACGATCTTTGTTTCAACCCTGTCGTAGAAATGATACCCAATAAGTAACACGGGAAACCGTTACTCCCGCTGCCTCTTACATCAGCTCCGCCGGCAGAGCGCGAATTCGCAAATTGATGACACGACGTGTTTTTTTTATTTTACACGATACAATGTTGAGAAATGTCACACGGCGTTTCGGCCTTCAAGCCACAATTTGCTCCGAATAAATTCGTCGCCCGATTAAACTACGCGGAGAGAATTTTCTCTTAAAATTTATTCTGAAAATCATGCAACAACATAGTCTTTCGAAGAATTTTATGAGTGTTTTGAAATTTTATTATACTTTTTGATAGTAATTGTGTACTTATTGTTAGTATACATTTTACTATAATAATAAATTGTGCGGCAAAAGTTAAAAAAACTCCTATAAATTTCTTTAAAGTGCCTTGTCCCACGATTTTCAGGGTAAATTTTAAGAGAAAATTCTCTCCCCCCGTGTACCTTTCTCTTTCCGCCGCAAATCCCTGCCGGAAATAATTCTACAAAATTTTATTTTAAAAAAAATACTGCCAGAATCTAAGAACCTAAGGAGAACAAAAAGTCAGGATGATGTCAATTTGATGTCATATTGACCAAATTTATGTCAACTTTTGGTTAATATGGCATCAAATTGACCAAAATTTGATATAAATTTGGTCAATATGACATCAAATTGACATCATTCTGACTTTTTGTTCTTCTTGGGAAATTCTACGTAAAGTTAAAAAGTGTTATAAAAATCAATATGAAAATACTAGAATTGAAACACTTTTGTTAACTTTTGTAATATTCTAGAAGTAAGCAGATGTTTTAATTCTTTAAGATTTTGTTGTGTTACGTTCTGTGGACTCCACGATTTCTCTCTTTCAAAAAACCATAAGGAATATTTTTCCTTGGAAAATAATTACTTAGAAATCAACGGATATCGACTAGCAAACGCACGAGTCCCTTTCCCACAAAAAATTGTTCAGAACTGTGTCAAAGTTTCACTTTATAAAAACTCGAAACATAAAGTGCTTAAGATTGTTGCTAGTCGATAGTCGTTTGAAATAGTAGAAAAAAAGGGAGAAATAACAAATAGGATGGGATCAGGCCCTTCAGAGGGCAATTTCGAGATATAAACTTCCGCAATATATTGGTCTTAGCACGTTCGCCGAAAGTGCTCTTCGTAAACATCGGCCCGTAATTTTGACGATAACGTTGCCGGGTCGCAGACCTCGGACCGCCCTTATTATACATAAGTGCAACCCGAGACCAAAAAAAGGGATTCTAAGACCCATATGTTGATTAGAATCTAACACTCAAGAATGAAACTCGGGGTTTTTCGAAAGTCGCTGAAGGAAATGATGCCTATAAACAAATAACGAACGAGAAGAGAAGGCGACGACTTTATGGTCGCGTTGCCAATAGAAAGACACAACTTCATGACATCCTCAACTAGTCCACTGTCACGGTCTGACAAAGTTAAAGTCTCGTCCGTTTTTCGGTCGACACATTTAAGTGCTTTAGCGGGGATTTGGACTTGATTGTGTGAATCTAATGATTAGTTTAATCTTAAAATCCAAGGAAATAAGTCTGTAAGATAGTTATTTTTTAACTTGTCCGTTGTTTTCAAACTCAGATAATAATTTATGAAGTTTTTCAAAGAGGGAATTTGGATTTTGGTTAGAAGATAAGGCTTTCTCAATCTGGTATTTAATTCTCTTTAATTGTACGCGTTTTCCGCCTTTCTTTTTTGTGTCATAAGGTAGGAGATTGATTCTTTGTGCGCCACTCTATTGGCAGCGATCAAATTGATTTAGGAAATCTATTCGCCACACTATTTGGCAGCGTTCAGATGAAATGGAGGATTTCGTTGAAATAAATTATTGTTTATAAATTCTAAATCTTACTTTATTTTAGAGTTATCAATTCCTTGAATCGGAATAAATTCGAATCAACAGTTTAAAAAAGAACTGAGTCCTAAGTCTGTTGTAGAGTTAAAGCAAGCTCAAAAACACAAACCAAAAGCTGAGCAGAACTAAATAAAACTTCCGAAGGTTCTCCTTATATTTACAGTAGAATCCCCCCCTCACGATATTTTAAATGGAGGAGAAATGAATTCTCTGTTCGAAACACTACCCTGGCAACAGTTATCACTGCTACCGTGGTACCTGCTTCGCTTGGGTTGTAATTCGATAGACGATCGATATTGTTGTACCCCAATTCTATAAGGAGGTAATGAGGGTATATAAATAAGCAATTTAAGCAATGTAATTATAAGAATACTAGCGTAAGCCAAAAGATTGCGCGATCGGGCCACAAAAGCCCGAACGCGCAACCTACTTAATTTTCGAAGAAGAAGTCAGCAAGTTTTAGGCCCGATTACGAGTAACCTCGATCGAGTACCGAGAACGCTGACCATTCGATCATCGGGTTTAAAACCAAGGGAACGCACGAGATCGGGGCACTTGCCTATCACGCGTCATCCGATACTGTATACGTTTACGCGTGAAGCGTATTGTCCGTTAGGCCTTCGGTCTGCCGTCAACCAATCTCTATACGGTAAATAAAGTCTATCTCAAACAGTGAAGTTCAACGGTGTCTCGAGTGAGTGACCTCCGACCAGAATCATCTCCTAAAAGAATCCTTTCTGTTCTCGTAAGAGAACACCTCTCGAGAGAGGCTATCAAAGAAATTCTACACCGCGCACAGAGCGGCGCGGCAATTAACGTGTGTCAGTGGCGATAACGCACCCGACAACAAGCCATTGTCATAAGCGGGATCACACGGCAACAATATCAAGGAATGTTCCAGTACAATTTTCAGTCACTTGAGAGTCTCATTTAATAATTTAATTCGAGTAATTTTTTTATTTAAAATTATATTATACGTTGTCATTATACGTCCGTAACACCTTCCCCCTTAAGTCATACGTGGTAACGTGATACATTATGTTGCCACGTATGAGCCATTTAAACTCGGAAATTATATAATTAAGTAATGTCTATATATTTAATTGAACGCTCTTATAATACTAACTTAGGATAAATCAGAATTATTTAAAAGCCAAATAAATGGGAAAAAGGCAATGAAAATATTAATAAACGTTTCTAAATTAATTTATTGGAATTAATAAATGTTTCCCACTTATTTCTTTTTTCTTTTTTTTTTGAAAGCACATACCTATACCGTCGCATTTCTTGAGCGTATATTTGTCCAGGATTGAATGGGTGTACCACGGCAACAGGGCGCTCATTCTCTTGTTTGCTAGTGCTGGGTTGGTTTGCCATTATCCTAAAGTTATGATTTTAATTTTATTTTTGTTGCGCGGTGATTATTTTTTTGTAATATGTGTGCGTGTATATGATTGTGGTTTATGTTATATAGTATATTAATTTTTACCTTGATAGTTTTCTTCTTCTCTTTTTTTATCAAAATATTTTTGTTAGTATCGTTTTATAGTTTCTGTTTCATAGTTCATATATACGTTGTCTCTTATTTTAAAATTATCCTCGTTAACTAAATATTCCTCGATAAAATTTCTACAGAATATGGCTCTTTTTACATATAATAGTTCTTTTTTGCATCTTATGCAACACATTTTTCTTCCCATGATAATCTAAACAAATGCGACCTTATCGAATGATATTCTGATTTTCTTATATAAGAGTTTATTCCTCTAATCGGTCTTGAATAATAACATTCTTCGCACATTTTGTGCCACGGAAAAAAATTTTGATACAAAAATTGGTTCGTTAGTTAGTTTTGTTAGGCAGCTGCTCTGCATAAGTAATATCTATCTTCGTAGTCCTGTGGTAATCCTGTAGTGAAACTCCGTCGATGGGACCTTCATTTTCCTCCTCGAGAGTTTTGGTTGGAGGTCTCATTTTCTTTAAAGAGTTTAAATAATTTGTTTGTTTGTTTTATTATTATTATAAAAATTAATATATGTTTTTACCTTAAGATATTTAATTCACTTTACTTAAAACTTTACTTTCGCTTTTTAATGTTCACAATACGATGATTGAATTCATACTGACTATTGCCGTGCTGTTACTTGGACGGCTATCTTATCAAGGTAATCCGAGATATACTCTATGTCCCTACCAAGACTGCAAGTGTTATATACTGAGTGTCGTTGGATTTCGTTTTTTATATATGTATGTATATATATTTTTCTTAATTATAAACACGGATATAATGTATGAGTTTCGTTGCGGATAATTTTTGTTTCATTTTCAATTGAAAGATTTTGAGATTGAGAATTACCTAGGTATTTGTGGTTCGTTTATTTTTGTACTGTTTTCTGGTTGATGACTTGAATCTTCTGGTAGTGTTTCTGAGACATAAATTTAAGCTCTGGAAATAAATGTCGTATATCTACATATAAAGATTAATCTTATTGTAACCAAATATAATATTGCTACAAAAAACATAAATTTGCTACAAATAAATTTATTTTCTGAGCAGGAATTAAATGAAAATTTTTAAACAAGTAATTTCAAAAATTAGATACTTTACAGAAATATATTCTGTTGCCACAGCGAAATTTCTTTATAACCAATAAATATCGAAAAAAATATCACAAGTAACGTTTGTTTTTGAATATATCGACTTTTTTCTCTCAGTGTACACTGAGAAAAAAGACTTTGAAAATTTATTTGTGGCATATAATGTTTATTTCACTGAAATAAATCTCTTATTTAAATACGGCGAAATAAAATTTTATTTCTAGCAAATAAACGATTTATTTTATTTTTTAAATAAGTATTATTTATTACAAAAAATTATTTGTTTCCTTGAAATGAGTTATTTATTTGCAAATATCAAGTTTCTTTACATTTTTATAAATTATATATTTCTAACAAATAAATTAAATATACCTAAATAATTATAACTTCTTTTCACAATTTTGTTTTATTCCAATTAATAGCAATGGAACTAATATTCACTCTAATCATAAATATTTATTCTCATTGTCAGATAATAACACAGAAAAGTAAAAATTGGTCTGTATATTGAAAGGTACGCGTCACTTTGGTCTGACGAGTAAGATATTCTCTTGCAAACTTACTTATCGTATTCTCACTCCATCCTTGTTAATGTATTGTATCTAAAACTTTCTGAACACTATGTTCCATTTTTATAATGGATTTAAGCACACTTAACATATAACACTGCACACTGCACACATATGACAAATCAGATACAGAAGGACAACGAACCGTTGTGGCGTCCTTTAGCACTTATCCGCCATATTGCATGATGCAACGTGAATCAACTAGAAGTAAATTTTGATCCAACGAAATGGCCATTTGTTTCTGAGACACAAATTTAATCTCTGGAAATAAATGTCGCATATCTATACAAATTATCTTCTTGTAACTAAATATAATATTGCTATAAAAAACATAAATTTGCCACAAATAAATTAATTTTCTGAGCAAGAATTATACACGAAATATTGTTACGTAAAACTTTAAACGCGTTTTTCTCAGAATGACATTTTTTAAATCGGCGTGCAGCATAACTTCTACAATTTTTATCCGATTGACTTAAAATTTGGAGACAATCTTCTTATCTAAATTATTTAATGAAATAAGTAGGGGTTTTGCGATATATTAAAAATTGTCTTTGTTACGGATATTTTTGTACTAAATTTTTAGGTAAAAAATGACACGTTTTTTCAAATGTTCGCCATTTTGTCAAAAAACCATATTTCGAAAACCCCTACATATTTCATTAGTAAATACTGTGTAGAAAATAAAAAATTTTGGTTTTTTGTTCTAGGTTCAACTGTTTTGCAGTTATGCTGCACGCCGATTTGACGTTCCTGAAAAACAAGGATAAATGGATTAGCCCCAGTGACGTCATGTTATTTGAAAAACAAAACAAAAAAATATTTTTCGTGTTCTTAAATATCTATAGAATAATTACCTTTTTATAGATTTTCATTTATTTAACCATTGTCTCAAAAAAAAATCTTAAAAATAGCTGTTTTTCTACGGCTCTAAAGTGGTGTAACCCCTTAAACGTGCGTAATGTGTGTCGTATGAATTTCGCATGTATTCGTGACATATTTCGTTACTTTACACTTAGATGTGCACGTCTGAAACAGTTAGATCTTACACTAAGTGACTTTTCTGTCTCGCATTTCATAAGCTTCCTTCATAATTGCGGCAGACTTTTAACACACTTACGATTACGTAAATGCCAATCTATCGATAATGATGCTCTTCTCAAAATCTCAGAAACATGTAAAGCTTTGAAAGGTATACATATACAGGGTGTACCTAAACTGGCGATAAATATTTTAATGACAAGTACTTTGTAACATTTTGAGACAAAAATTCTAATACGAAAAAGTCGAAGCTATAATAGTTTTCAAATGGGAACAGTTTAAACATCTCGAATAGCAAAGCTAGAACTTCGCGCGCTCAGGGATGGCAAAATGGCCAGTGCTAAAGGTGCTTTCTTGAACCACACGTCTTTGGGTTTGTTTTCTGTTCCTGCACTGGTGAACTAGTGCAGTAAGCTAGAATGAGAAAAAATATGCTTGTCTTACTCCAATTTATTGCACTAGTTCACTAGTGTAGGAACAGAAAACAAGCCTTTTGACATTAATGAAATTAGTGTAAAAATGTATGCAAGAGTTTTATTAAGAAACTATTTCTGTTTATTTGCAATGAATTTTAGAAATAGTTTAAAATGTTTTTTTTCAATAGTTCAAATCGATATTGTGTCAACTGTCATCAGC